ACTCCAGAGCATCATTTTATTAATTACCAATTAGACAATTAAGCTTTACCTGTCATACATTTACATACCAATGTAACAATTTGTGAGCAATCGCAGCAAATTTCTGGCTACATATCGAGATGTCACTGTTGGTCCAAGTTTCGCTGACAGCCATCTAACTGTTTTGCAGACTGTATCTGTTTTTAGAAACATGATCAAAATGTTAGATACTGCCACTTTATGTAAAAACATTTGAATGAACCACCGTCACTAACTCACCAAGAAGAATTTTGTGCTCTTTTCCCTCAGATTCTTCTGACAGATCATGGTCATCCTCTTCGTCTTGTCCTTCCACAATCTCTTTCTCTGTCTCGTCCAGTGTCATCCCATTCACAAACTCACCCTCTAAAATGGCAACTGTGGCACCTGAAGCTTCTGTGCAACCAGAAAGAGTAAGCTCAAGGTTGAAGACTTCTGGGTCATTTGTCCCCTCTTTATCCTCACCAGCATCTGGCCCCTCATCTTCCTCCAGCTCTCCTCCCTCCTCTCCTTCACTAGTGTGTTTCAGGTCCTGGCTGCTGTCAGCTGATTTCAGGCTGGTTCGATCCCGCATTGAGTCCTCACCCAGAGAGAGTTCACTTGCGCTACTTTTGTCACTTAGTTTCCCCACACTGAGAGACTCTTGGTCTTGTTCCCTGGCTGCAGAGTTCTGACTCTGCTGTTTCCCAGTAAGCACCCCTGCTCCGCTGTTGACATAAAACCCATTCTGAAAGTCTTCTGGCTCTGAAAGAAACACTTGGTCACTAAGACTGATGCTGCCGCTAGCCCCCATATTACCGCCAACAGACCCAGACGTTGGCCGAACCTCACCACACTGAAACTCCTCTTCTTCCTCCTCTCCCATATTACACATGCCATTTCTCAACCCTTTAAAAGGTTCTGTTCCAGAGCCTGAGTTGCAGCTTTCAAAGCCAGTGATGACCTGGAGCACATGGGGAAGTAGGCTGGATAGAAAGGCCTGCAGGCCCAGTCTCACAATCAGCTGCAGAACGAAACAGTCAGTGTAAAGATAGAAACGGCCTCGGAGGCAGTGAGGGCTTTCATAAACATTAATCAGCGGTTTCAGTAAGTATTTGTTTGCATTTCTGGGACCCAGTACTGTAGAGATGGGCTCAAAAAGGTACCAAGATGCATAGACAGCAGTGGACTCCTCAAGCATGAGGGCTAGAATAAAGGGCAAGAGGATCTCAAGACCCTCTGCTGTGATGTTACTCCGCAGCAGTGCTTCAAGCTGCTGCCACAAGTGAAAGACAACATCTCTTCCTTGAAGGCTACTAATATTTTCCATCTTAGCATGGTAGGAAAAAATAAAATGATGAAGTGCTGCAAAATAAGAAGGGAAAGGAAAGGGAGTGATGACAGAGTTCAGTAACTGAGAGGGGCTTGGAGGAGGCAGACCATTGAAGATGGGGTCATATTTGAAGAGGAGAGGACTTGGGTAATCTGATATATCTTTGTTTGCCTCTCCAGAATGTTTCTCTATTAGCAAAAGTGTCTCAAGAGCATGGTGCAAACACAGTGGTACATCACGGAGGCTGGCAGAGCATAGCTTTATAACAGCTTGGAAACGCTGTTTGAGTGCAGTATCTGGTTTCAGTCCCCTTAGTTTAGTGGCGTAAAATATCTCAGCGATGAGAACACCAAGAGCCTGCATATCTCTTTGGTAGAGATGCATAAGAGAGGGGAGGGATTCGCTCATTAGGTCAGATCGTACACTAGAACCTGAAGAATGCCATACATCAGCGTGCAGACTTTTTACCAGAAAATTGTTCAACTTCTCCAGCTCTTCTAAAGGCTGAAATGGGTTAAAGCCTTCAGGGAGAATGATCTTCATTTCCTCTGTACTGGAGGCAGTCACACTTCCTTCCCCATGCTTTTTGTTCATCGTCCCACCTCGTTGCAGCATGGCACTTCGGAAACCAGGACCAACACCACTTGAAAGGTCACCAGGGAATGAACCTGGAGACTGAGATACAGTAAGTGCTGTGTGCTCTCCTCCTGTCTTTCCACCTGATGCACTAATACCTGGCATTGGCACAGAGCAAGATGCAGAAGTGGATGAGCCAGTGGATGCTAAAGAGTCCAGAGCTTCTGTACCTTGTTCAAGCTCTTCATCTTTGTCCACTGTGGTCCAGCCACTGGACTCACATCCTGTAGATTCTGGCACCATTCCATCCAAAGTGTCGGCCAGAGTCTCATTTGGAGTGATGGGTAGAGAAGGCACAGTAAGAGCAGCAAGGCCAAGAGGAGGAGGTTCTGCTGGGGCATACTGAGAAGGAGATAAGCGAGGTGGGTGTGGCTGGTCAAACAGCTGAACTACACCATAGGTAGTTAGATGAGTGTGGTTGTCCACGAGATGCAGGCACACATTCTTGGCCTTGATAGCTTCTTTACCTGACAGCTTATAGCCAAATGTGAGATCAATCCAGTGATGCAAATGCTGGGACACCTCTCTGCTCTCCAGAAGCCGCCGATGGACCTCAACGAACTCTTCAGAAGACTTGCACCACGAAGGCACATCCAGGTCTGGCATGTCAGGGTGAATTGAGTGGAAAATGGAAGGGTCTGTGTAGAACTCTGGAATGCACTCATCAGGGGTCCAGCTCTGCATGCGTTCCATACTTGCTGGGTATTCATTGGGCTCCCACTGGGATCGAACATGGCTGCACAAAACTGACTTGGGAGTCTGCCTGGCTTTGTAGACATAGTATGTAATGTCTGACAGAACATCGGATATGTGATGAGGTACATGGAGGTGGTCAGACTGTCCTGCACCAGCACCACCTCCACTGAGGTCTCCACCGACACCTCCTCCACCAACACCACTGCCTCCTGCAGCTGCCAAAGCCTCTTTGGTCATCTCGTATGTAAAATCCAGTTGCTTATCCCCTTTATTGAGCCTGAACTTTGACCTCCTGAGATCCCGAAATTTTCCCTCTGGCACAGTGAAATCCACCACCCAAGGCAGAACTGGGTGATAATTTGGGTCTCCTTCTCGCCGCCCCGCTAATCTGTTTAGTTCCATCAAGTAGCGGAAGTTACTGACCCGTCCATGGACCCAGTCCAGAACCAAAGTCCTTAATTCATCAAAGCAGTTTTTGCAAAGTCTTTTGTTCTCTTGGCTCACACACAGAATTTCCCTTGGCAGGACACTTTTTGGCTCTTTTCTGCGACTAACATTACTTTCTGCATCCCCTTCTGTTCCCAGTTCCTCATAATGAGCTAGGTTGAGCTTTAGGCGGCTGCACAACTGATCATCTACTGTTATGTCCTGAAGAGACAGCTCTCCACAAGATAGGCCTGTTGCATGACATGCCTGCATAGCTATTAGAACCTGGTAGAGAATGAACAACACTTTGGCATTGCTGTTAGCAAGCTTGGCTGGGCTGAAGGAGACAATATCACGAAGTGAATACTGAGTGTAAGGGAGAATCACATAGAGCATTTCTGCTGTCTCCAAAAGACATTCTGCAGGCAGAATGTTAGGACACAGACTGTCTGACTGGGATTTGGAAAAACAAGAAGAGCTAGATGGCAAGCAGACTTCTTTCTCCTTGTCTCTGGCAGGAGAAAGCAATGGAGATACTTTTTCAGTTGAGATAAATGTGGAATTAAAGAGCTTCTGTAATGCATGACGTACTGCATCTACAGCTGCAACATGCATCTGTTCACTGGCTCCTGAATATGGCCGCACAAGTTTGTTATGAGCTTCACGCCATAAATTCCTGGAAGAAAAAACAAGGGCAATGAATACTGTTAGGCATTAAACTTGCTCTTAGATCATAATGCCTAATGTTGTTAGGACCGCATGATTAAGAAATGCCTCTAAGTAATGAGTAACCATGTCCTAACTAAAGCAAGTAATTATAACTAACACAGCTCATTTAATATGAAAGCATTACACACTAACATATTAGCTGTGGACCTAAACATATTTTCATTACAGACTAATCTAACAATTTTTAGTAAACTATTTATTGAATAAAAGCCCTCACAAATACTCTCTCACACAGTCTTTCAGTCCTCAACAATTAATTAACTTGATCAGCTCTACCCAATATTGCAGAAAATGTTTTCTTAGACAAATAATCTTAGCTTAATCGGGATCTAGAACTACAATAAGGTGGTAGGCAAAGACATATTTTGCATTAGAATTTAAAATTATGTTGAGTACCTGATATTATGCTGTGATACACTCTGCATTGTTTTGATGTAAGAATCCTGTGACAGAAATTCCATTTGTTGGTGGCATGGCTCTTTAGCCAGTCTGTAGCTCAGCTTACTTTTCCTCAAACCCTGAATGCACACTCTAGTCCACCCAGGGGGCAGTTTCGCCTGAGAAGACTGAAGGTATGTGCAAATTTCTGCCTCACTGATGCTGTCAAAACGGGCACAGCGCATGACTCGCCCCTCTCTTAGGCCCATCACCCAGCGCACAGGAACAAGGGCTACAAGCTCCTGAGGACGGCGCCCTGGGCCTTGCTGCCGTCTTTCAATCCCCAAGTCTTTTTCAACTGCATGCATCAGCCAATCCATGGTCAATCTGCAACTGGTTGTTCTCACTTAGACAGTTTTCAGCTACTTTCCACTCGCTGTCAGCCACTAGAAGTTTTCAGTTTTCAGATATCCATGGTGGAAGATATAAAATCACCAACAGCAAACGTTATCTCCTCATCCACCTGTCCCTTTAAAAAAAGAACTGTAAAGTATAAACAGACAGTTAGATGAGCAACCACTTTAAAAACAATACTGCTTTGATGCTTTCTACTTCTCACATAAAGTTTGAGCTCAGCTCACATGACTCAAGTTCTACCCGACAACAAATCTAATCTGCCCTGTGGGCAGGTTTTGAAGTCACTGCTTTTCATAAATGCTCACAGCTTGCAGGCAGATATGACACCAAAGAAACAACAATTCCCAATTTAAAACGACTCTTTCGGGGATGAAAACTTAACAAATTCACGTAACTGTGTCTACATTATGGCAACCTTTTTAACATATTAAGTAACTCAACGAACAAAGTTAATAAAAACCGTCGGCAAGGTAAAGAAATGACCATTAGGGAAGTAACGTCGAAAGTTATCGCTAGCTAACAGTTAGCTTAACAAAGGGACTAACCTTACGAGGCATAACTGATGGAAGAAAAACGCAACCATGCAGTTAGTTGCTGAAAATTCTAGCACAAAGCTAAACGAAAGCAACTACCTCGTTAAACAATAACTATAATGCAATTGCAGACCAATTGCCACCAACGTATAGCTCACCTCTCACCACTTGTAGCAGTTGACAGCTAGTTAGCGTTGAGCTAACAACGCACCCCGGTTCCATGCATGATGAGTTTGTCCGACATTAACTTCATAACACTTGAACATCCTGCATGATGACACGTGTTTGCTTCATTTTCTGGCATGTAAAGATGAGTGTCAGCAGCCAGACGACAGTCAGTCAGCCGATTGTGTTTTGCTCTGAGCTATTTGGAGCCATGTTTTAGAAGCGATACCTCACGTGACATAACACCAGGCCCCTCTCATGTGATTGCTACTGATGCTTGCTCCCTGCAGCTGTGACGGCAGCGCTCCCTCTGCACTACACCTACATTTGCTCTTAAGCACTTTATTCTGCCATAAACCGCAGAAGTAATGTTTGTAGTTACCTTTTTAGAGAAGATGTATTGACAACCTACTTTTGATGTAATACATTAAGGATAATATATTAAAGGTAAAGAATGTCCGAAATTTAGCCAGTCCTCTTGGCACATCGTGGTTCTTTATGCATTGGTTAATAATACTGTTTACTAACAATAAATCCCTCGTATTACAGAAACACTAGCACTACTATTAATTTCTAAATAATATGGATGAAATCTAGCCACAATTTCCAGGTTTTTATTCATTTTTTTCTGACCTTTAAGGACCCAGGAAATCACCTGATCATATTTAAGGTCGCATCACATGATAGGTACTTCCCAATTTCCAAGTTCACAGAGAGAAATACTGTATTTACCTGATTTCTGTGTTGTACGGGTTCTCTCCACAAGGTGGCATGATGTGTGTATTTTTATAGACAAATCCTTCTCTTGTGCAGACTTTGCAATCTGCACAAGTGAAATTCTTCCGATCTGCTTGAGTTTATAATATTCCAAGCAAATACCTGCTTTCGGATATTTGCCCGCCACTGTTATTTGCAATGTGCTCCTGTCATTATAACTGATGGCTGGCATCCAATAATGGTCACTTTTTTGTTTGTAGTTACAACACCAAAAACATGAACTCTGCTTAGAGTCAGTTGTTTCTATCCCAACTAAATTAGTGTTAGTTTTCTATCCCAACTAAATCCTATTTAAGGACGCATCACATGATAGCCTACTTCCCAATTTCCCAGTGTTCCAAGTTCACAAAGAGAAATGCTGTATTTACCTGATTTCTGTGTTGTACGGGTTCTCTCCACAAGGTGGCATGATGTGTGTATTTTTATTCCTTGGAAATGAAGGATTTTTAAATCCTTCACTTGTGAAGGAAGTGAAGGATTGTGCAGACTTTGCAATCTGCACAAGTGAAATTCTTCCAATTTGCTTGAGTATCTGCTATGCTTATAATATCCCAAGCAAATACCTGCATTAGGACCTTTGTCTGCCATTGTTATTTGTAACGTGGTCCTGTCATCATAACGGTCACTTTTTTGTTTGTAATTACAACACCAAAAACATGAAATCTGCTTAGAGTCAGTTGTTTCTATCCCAACTAAATTAGTGACTCAATTAGAGACTATATGAAATAAACTGAAGTACACTGCATGTCATAGATGAAATGAAATGGGGGGGTGGGGTGCAAATCTTTTTTTTTATGTTTCCATGTATATATCGATTTGAGTGTTTCTATTCAAATTATTTCTCTGATATTGTAAATAAATAGAACTTGCATAAATTTGAGATAGAGACTACTACAATGGTCACAGCTGCAAATTTTATGGCCGCAATTCACTAAACACAGCACATTTGAACAATATGGCTCTCACTATGCAATGATCAACGTTGTTTTATTGCTCTATGAATCCTTTTGTCAATATCTGAGACAGCACTCATGTAAACACTGTGGACAAAGCATGTATTAAACAGTGTGTATACACACACATACATATAGATATATATATTGTAAATGTATGACGTAAAGCAGCAGAATTAAGGGAATTGACCGTCCACATTATAGTATATATTTGCATGCCTTTAAAATTGGTAAGAAATGTCACTACACATGGTTGAAGACTCACAATTACAGGGACACAAATTAAAAGGTTCTCTCATCCTAGCATACCACCAATGCAGGATAATTACTGTTAGCACTTTCAAAGAAAAGATGCAGCCAAAAAACATGACATTCCTTGGCTCAGCATTTTATGTTCTTCTCTTACTTCTGCTCTTAGTTTTATTTAACTTCCATGCAGAATGTGTTTGATGTCTTAAAGCAGTGTTGGCTTGGGTTTATGGCACTCACTACAAATATCCCAAGGTTACAGTATATTGAAAGGGAGGCATAATGAGGCGTATTGTGCATCACATTTCAGTGTATTACAGTAGCCCTGGAATAAATGCTGTTTGTACTTATTTGTACTATTTTCACTTCTGTATTTTGTAATGCAATCATGATCCAGCTCCCCCACTACACTAGTTCCATAAGTGGTTATGATCATAGATAATTAAATAGTTTTCATTTGAAATAATGTGACCAATGTTTAATAAACTCACTGGACGGGTTAGAGAAAATAAAATTGCATAAAAATGGGTATTATTTGTTTGGGAAAAGGAAAAGGAAAAAGGAATTCAGTTCAGTCAAAGCTTCTGTGATGTTTTTGGTGAAATGTTTATTGTGCT